TTATCAACTATGCGCGTTTGACACTTGTTGATGACACAACAAAATGGTATATACGTCAAATCTTTATAGTGCGCAGTGCGCAGTGCACTATCTGTTGTCTCAAATCCGCATTTCATACTTGTACACCTGATATCTGATGCATGATTAAGAAAACGAGCGTAAAATTGTTCAACAATTAGCAGCGATTTATCGCGCTGTCAATTATATTCAATTTTCAAGAATAACAGAGTTTTATATTTATTGGGAGAAGGTAACTCTCTCTCTCTTCTAAAAAGATCTGATAACCATTCTTCGCAGTGTGTTCCTCAGTCCTTCAAAGAGCTCCTTTCCTCCACGATATTTTGAAGGGTCGCATTGCAACCTGTACGATGATAATCTTGAGTTTCTGCCCATATCTCCGCGTCTCGCACTCGAAGACATCATCCCCCCCGAGAAAGCGGTATTCTATCCCTTTCGTAGGCTAACCGTTTCTCGCGACGTTTACACCGACCTGGTTCATAGAACGCATCTTGAATCTTGCGGTAATACAGGCGTAGGAACGGAAAATATATACCTATCTCATATTAGTCGCACGTGAATTTCTTGCAGTTTATCACTTTGTCAGATTTTGATGTTGTCTAATTATTAAAATGAAGGAGCCGCGATCCATCCTGAATTAAAAATGCGATGTAGCACGTACAGGGTTAAGAGGTAACCGGAACGGAGACATGTGAGAGCAGCTAGTAATTCCGAATCAGAGGACGGCATCGAACTACTTAAAAATACAGAATACAAGAGTGGGTCGCAGAAGAAAAACAAACAAAGAGAGAAATGTTATGCAGCACTTATAATTCGGTTATATAGCGGATTAAGATTCTCGGTGTCTTTTTGGAGATTGATCGTATTGTTATGTTTTTTGATATAAAACATCTCCGCTATCTCTCTCTTTCTCACATTTTTCTCCCTATGCAAAACTTCGGCAGTGGACCATTTGAAATCGTGTCCATGCATCAATCGGTGTTTGCTGACTACGGAGCGCCTGCTCTCATCTTTCTTAATGGCCTAGTTTACACCGATCTCTTGATACGCGTATCAAATAGTATATTTGAACTGATCAGCCAATAATCAAACTAATTTACTAGTTATTTACTATTTAATACGCGTATCAAGTGATCGATGTAAACTAGACCAATGTCACTCAGATGCTCCTTTTTATTTTAAATTCATAAAGTAAACATCGTTACCTTTCGTTTCCGATAAAGTGCATCAAAATAAGTACACCCGTTCAAACGTGAGAGCCAAGCGCCCGATTTGCATAAATAATTTGTTAATAGACAGCCATATAAAAATTGGAGGCGAGCCTTGTGCACACTTGTTCAGCATACTGAAAGGTATCATTGAGTTAATGTCCGCTTAAATATGATAATTTTTAACTCAGTTTTCGGGAACCTGTAAAAATGGCCCTTTTCTCCCGTATTTTTTGCAATTTTGCAATTAAAAAATTTTAAAAATTTTTTTTAAGGCTTATTCTTATAGGATATTATATATATATATATATACAGGGTGTCCGAAAAATCGCCTACTCCACTTCGGGAGGTGATTCGGGACCCAAAAACAAGCAAAAAAGTTCATACAAACATAGGTCCGGAAATGAGCCGTTTCCAAGTTATAGCCACTTTTATGTTCAAAAATCGTAAATTTTTATTTTCAATTTTTTTTAATTACAATTACCAAATTCTCTCTAGTTTCTGTCTACATTTCGAAAAGACGCTATTCCCGGTACATCTTGATTTGGAAAAGACTGGATGTCTAATCTTCTTGCCTCGGCAGCATTACTTTGAGCAAGACCATACATAAGATGCATATCAGCTAATTCATTAAAACTTAAACGATCCATTGATGAATACGGAAAAATTAGATACAACCTAAAAGTAAGGTGTTGTTACATAATAATTTGAAACTTATTGAAAAGCCGTGATTTACTTACTGATTTTGAATAGGCGTGAAAACAACTGATTTTGAATAGCCGTGAAAACAACTGATTTTGAATAGCCGTGAAAACAACTGATTTCAAGTAGCCGTGAAAACAACTGATTTCTTTTAAAAATAATGTAATCGTAATTACAAAATTTTAAAAAATAAAAAAAAAAAAAAAAATTAAAAAAAAAAAATTAAAAATATTTAAAAATAAAAATTTTTAATTTAAGAAATAATTAAGAAAGAGGGATGCCAAGCGGATTATAAATTACGATTTTTGAACATAAAAGTAGCTATAACTCGGAAACAGCTCATTTCCGGACCTATGTTTGTATGAACTTTTTTGCTTGTTTTTGGGTCCCGAATCACCTCCCAAAGTGGAGTAGGCGATTTTTCGGACACCCTGTATAATCAATAAATAGGTGGGCGTGCGCGCGCGAACGCGAGCGCCGAGATTTTAACAAGAAGCCTAGCACGATTCTCGCCGGCTCGCGGGCAGCTGACCGAGCGTCGAGCATCTGACATCACTGCATGCTGAAATCTGGCATCGCTGCAAAATTAGTCCGGATTCGCACCAGGGGCAAAGTCTGTAATGTGATTTAGCCCGGACTCAATCCTAGGGGCAAAGTCATAATCAAGGCACGGAAATGCTGGTCAGTTATATCCCACGAAGTAAGAGCTAAGGAAGTCGAACTTCATAGCGCGCGAGTAGAAAAAGTGGTCCCGATTCGTGGCACCTAATGAGAGGGAGTCCGCTGAAGGGAATGGATTCTTATCGATGGACGTCATTTTCAACCTATAGTGCATGTAACATATACTGTAGGATTTTCAGCACTCGTGAACGCACCTTAACCTTACCCGGCCAGCCCGCGGTCTCTTACTTCGTGCTCAGTTTGTTTACGTGCATTTGCATCGTGAAATCACGTGCTTCGTGCGTGAAATAGAGTCCGTACTGCCCGAAGGTGACTGTTGGTGATCGTAAACGTATTCGGACGTGTTCTGTACTGTCCTTTATTATTTTGCTGATATTTTGTGAAATTTGCTGCTGCTCAGCATTGAGTTTGAACTAATTATTTCGAGTAAGGAAAGAAGAAGATATCGTGAAATGGCGTGTTGGATAAATGGATGCACCACGAAAGGAGGAAAAAAAGAGACTTTTACGAAGAAAAGTTTAAAAATACAAAGTTTAAAAAATTGTTTCTACATTTGCATTCATTATGTTATTGTTTATTTTGTAGTGCAAAATTGTGCGTTGGATATGTAACAAGAGATTGCTTAGTACGTGGTGTGCAGCGCCAAAGATGTATTCCGTGTGCGAAAAAGTACAAAAATATACTTAAAAAGTCGAAGAGGCCAACACCACTGCAAACATTGTCAAAGAGCGGTCAATCCCTCCGTTCGAGATGTAAAAACATTTCTCGGAAAAATTTTAGACTTCAGAACAAAGTAGACTTTCCAAACATTCATTATTAAATATTCTGACCTGAAAGTGTTATCTCAATAATTTGTATTGCGTTATATTTTTTTTTGTAACGCAGGTTGTACGTCTAAAAAAGGCAGTACAGTGTATAAAGGAGAAATGTGCTCAAGCAAATACACAGGCAGTGAAAAATGCTATATCAAAACTACCCATTAATCAGCAATTGTTTGTGCAAGCATGTCTTACAGCTTCTAAAGCAAAAAATAAAGGCATGAGATGCACCACACAGTGGGTGTATGAATGCTTGTTATTGCGGATCAAAAGCA